CTAAGGGCTCCTACTGCTTCCAGAAGACTATGGCCTCAACTGCTTCTTTTAAAGGCACAGGTTTACTTTCTAAATATGTCCATTGCCTAAAAAAATGTGCATAGACACATACTGATTGATTCTTGAAAAATATAACTTATATAACTTTAATCAAAGTTATATGTTACCTATTGATTCTTGAAGAATATAACTTTGAATATAAGTTATATAACATTAATCAAAGTTATATAAGTTATACTATGCAAGAATCAATGGGTAAATATCAATCAATGAAATGGACAGATTGTACCTTTAAGATCCCAGATTGTATCTTCAACTGCAGTTACACTGCAAAATTACTGACGTTAAAAAAACAGTGTTATTTTGGACGCATTATTTTCAGCATACTGCAGTTATACTGCACTCTAACTGCAGTTATACTGCAGTGTACTGCAGTTATACTGCACTCTGACTGCAATCTTTTTTCGTAATGGAATGACTCCTCTAGCCAAACAAAACAGAGGCATACTGCCCACATGAATATGACATTAACACACACATGGTTAAGAGCTTGATATGTTTAATATACAGGACCTGCTAAATGATGACAGCTGTATGCCTCTCTCTTCTCTCTGAACAGGCCTCCTGTTCTTCTTACTACTGGGACCGCAGCCATCGTCATTTGTTTCAGGACAAAACACAACCTTAAGTTCCAATTCAACCACCGATGCTGCAACCACGGTCGCTGCAACAGCAGCTGTGATGTCAACTGCAATGAGTACTGTCTCTGCAGCAACTATCGTGACAGCTACCACAGCTCAAGCTACAATGACGTCTGGCATTTCTTCTATGAATGTTACAATGTCATCTGGCATTTCTTCTACGAATGTTACAATGTCGTCTGGCATTTCTTCTACGAATGTTACAATGTCGTCTGGCATTTCTTCTACGAATGTTACAATGTCGTCTGGCATTTCTTCTATGAATGTTACAAAGTCATCTGGCATTTCTTCTACGAATGTTACAATGTCGTCTGGCATTTCTTCTACGAATGTTACAATGTCGTCTGGCATTTCTTCTACGAATGTTACAATGTCGCCTGGCGCTGCTGCTAATAAGGCTACCTCCACCTCCAATTCGTCCAATATAGGTTCATACAAAATACTGATTGTTTTATGAATTCACATTCAGGATGTACAGTAGGTATATTTTTTTGCCACCTTACTCTCACACTAAATGTTGTCCTTGCTAACACAGGTAGTGGAACCACGAGCACGGACAATACCACTTCATGGGGCACCAGTGGCATGACCATGGTGAGTCTACTAGTTTAGTAGATTTAATGTATGATATGATATTACCTTAACACTTTATTTGAAGGGGGTATACATAAAGCATTTATAACACCTTTATGAAAACAATCGTGACACCTTTGTGAATGTTGCAGTATCATTTATAACAACATTCATTACACATTTATTCAACATCAATCATAAGGAGGCCACCAAGTAAATAGTCCTTGGAATTATTGGAACAAATTGTCTTAGAAAATAATTTAGATTAATTTGCTGGTATGCACCTTCTGCCTCATTGAAGCGTGTGCATCATTTCCGTTATGTTGTCATTTAACCGATCAATATAATGTGTTCTGTGGTTTCCATGGCACCGTAAGGTAGCCTAAACAAAGAGCTCTGTATATTTTGTACATATTTTTAACAATTTTAAGAGTTTTTTGTTTTTGCTAAGTCATTTAGTGTTGATTGGGTATATCTGGTTGTTTTCACCCATGGAGTTGAAGGACTGATGGCACGTCTACTTGTGTGGTTTGACTATAGCTAGCTAGCTGCCGGCGAATGTTTTCATTTGAAAGATCTCACTAAGCTTCTTGACGAATGAGACCTGACTGCATTTTGGAAATGGGGATGACTAGATCTGGACTGAGGTGTGGTGAGCTTTTTTGTGCCATAGCAGCTGCAGAGGCATCACCCAAGTGAGTGCTACTCGTTAGTTGTGGAGGAGTACTTACTGAGCCCAGGCTACAGAGAGGTTGAGCTGAGGACGACATCAGGGCCAGCAAGCCAACTGCCTCATCTGTCATCGATCATCTGGTATCACCATCATCAGATCATCTAGCCTAACTCCAGGGGGGTTTCAGAAACACCAGTCTCTGTCATAAGCGGGTACACTCTGTTGTGAAGGAACTCTCAGAGCTGGCTTCATCACCATCAACATCAATTTCTTTGTTTTGTTAATTTACCTAATTGTTATTATTACTTTAATTTTTCCTTTTTATCATTTGACCTATACTGCAATTCAGCTTTTAGCTGCAAATGTGTAGCCTACAAGATTAAACGAACCAAATAAACAATAAACCATTCATATATAACAATATATTCCACTCATTATCTGAATTTCATTGATACACTGTAACCTGATTAATTTTGTCAAGCAGAGAGACAGGTCATACTGTATCAATTTTTGATATAAATGTACAGCTGATCTGTGTAATGCAGACTTTATGTATGCTGTATAAAGACTTTCTAAGTTGTACTTAATTCAAAGTGGGAATGATATTACTGTTTTTAGATTGTTTAGAGAAAGCATAGATAGATGCGGTGCTCAGTGTCTGACTCTCTCTTTCTCGCTCTCTCTCTGAAATAGATATCCTGTCGCCAGTTCTCCTGTAACTACTCAGACTGCTACAGTGTGTACAAGAATATTACTGCTTTTTCATGCGATGCTAATATCACCTTCTGTGAGGTACAGTATACTCTAGACGTGTATTGTCGCATTGTAGAATTTGAATAATACAGATTCTCACATTTCTTACACAACTTGAGTTATTTTTGTCATTAATTCATGTCACACCTTTTTTATAGATATAATATAAGCCCCACTATTAAAAGTTATTTACAACAAATATACCGGGAATGTGGTTTAATCTTATATTCCCTTGTTTAACAATAACAAAACATGTATTTGTTTTTAAGAGTGTGCTAATAAAATGTGTGTGACACCTTCTCAGCTGAGGAGACAGGAAAACATGACTTACACCAGTGGCTGCACTGCCTCCTGCAGTAATGTCTGTGTCAACAACACTCAGACCAACTGTACAATGGGATGCTGCAACTCCACTGGCTGTCTTAGCTCTACCCTGGCCTCCATGGATCTCACAAACACTACAACAGGTAAACCTTTTTTATTTTTACCTATCCATTTTTTTTGCAATAAAGAAATGGTTTTCCAAGCAAGAAAATCAATGTCCTGTTGTCTGCAGTTGACCACTGTTTTAAACCACTGCCTCTGGATCACATATACTGTGTACCACTGCGAGCATGGGTTCAAATCCGACCCACTGCTCAAGCACCCTCTCTCCTCCTTACTTTCCTTTCTATCCATCCTGTCTAATAAACACACAAAAGTGGGACTACCCCACTCCATAAAAAAATAAAAATGTCCTGAATTTGATATATAAGTGCCCTGTATTATGACTGTTTTCTATGCTATTCTGCATTTCTTCCGTTTCCTTGTAAACTGTGAGCAAGACTGGTGTCCTTAGTGTTAAAGTTGTTGAGCCTGTCCTAATATGGATACCGTAAAAACCCTGTCTTTTAATGTGAGGGATTCAATCTTACATGTATCACCACCACATCAATTGGGAGGCTGTTACTGCATGAAGCTGAGCTATGTCTGTTGGTCTGTTGAACTATTAGTTTTCTGACAATGCATGGTATCTTATCACTATTCTTTAATTTCAACACATCTGTAAAACATGCTATTTACTTTGAATAAATCTGAATTGCATTATATGAGCATGAATGTACTATATACAGTATTGATGCATGAGTCATCTCAAAGAGACTTATGTTAATTGTTCCTCCAGTGACTACAGTGATGATGACCACCACCACAACAAAAGCAGCAGCCACCACTACAACTGCTGAACCAACCAATGTAAGAAGTCGCTTTTGGGCAGCAACTTGAAGTTCTCAGGTTGATGCAGGCCTACTACAGTAAATTTCACAATATGCTAGGGTACATTTCTATACACATTAAAGGGGCAATCTGGGACTCGTCTGTCTGTCTGTGTGTGTGTGTGTGTGTGTGTGTGTGTGTGTGTGTGTGTGTGTGTGTGTGTGTGTGTGTGTGTGTGTGTGTGTGTGTGTGTGTGTGTGTGTGTGTGTGTGTGTGTGTGTGTGTGTGTGTGTGTGTGTGTGTGTGTGTGTGTGTGCGTGCGTGCGTGCGTGTTAGGGTTGTGACGGTCATGTAATTTTGGATGACAGTCATTGGTCAGCCAAGTGACCGCGGTCACCATTATAATAGTTTTAAAGACGCACATTTTCTGCTCTCCTCCGCTCCTGACTAAGTGTTGCTGTTGTATGGAGGGGGCATTGTCTAGGCAACTAAAGACACCTTGCTTGTTTCAGTTTAATCACTTTGTAGAGTCCATGTTACCTTGGAAACGGACTTAACCGCATGAATGCCTGGCCGTCCCGACTTCAGTCAGTTGTTCGTTCCATATATAGTGTTAATTTATGGCTGGTTATGACACCTACATAAAAGTGTCAAAACCCACATTTATTCAAATTAGTTATTTCCCTGCCAAGAAGTTTGTTCTTGTTTGAAAGGTTGTTTCTTAAATAATTTGTTGTTGTTGTAATGAATTCTTTACAGTCATGTTTATTTCATCATATTTTCAATAACTTGTAGAAAATACACATTATGATACTGTCATGAAGCATTATGACCATCATAATCATATAAGCCAGATAGGCCTATCACGTACACTACCAGTCAAAAGTTTGGACACACCTACTCATTCAAGGATTTTTCTTTATTTTTACTATTTTCTACATTGTAGAATAATAGTGAAGACATCAAAACTATAAAATAACACATATAGAATCATATAGTTACCAAAAAAGTGTTAAACAAATCAAAATATATTTTATATTTGAGATTCTTCAAATAGCCACCCTTTGCCTTGATGACAGCTTTGGACACTCTTGGCATTCTCTCAACCAGCTTCACCAGGACTGCTTTTCCAACAGTCTTGAAGGAGTTCTCGCATATACTGAGCACTTGTTGGCTGCTTTTCCTTCACTCTGCGGTCCGACTCATCCCAAACCATCTCAATTTGGTTGAGGTCGGGGGATTGTGGAGGCCAGGTCATCTGATGCATCACTCTCCTTCTTGGTAAAATAGCCCTTACACAGCCTAGAGGTGTGTTGGGTCATTGTCCTGTTGAAAAACAAGTGATAGTCCCACTAAGCCCAAACCAGATGGGATGGCGTATCGCTGCAGAATGCTGTGGTAGCCATGCTGGTTAAGTGTGCCTTGAATTCTAAATAAATCACAGACAGTGTCACCAGCAAAGCACCCCCACACCATAACACCTCCTCCTCCATGCTTTACGGTGGGAAATACACATGCAGAGATCATCCGTTCACCCACAACGCATCTCACAATGACACAGCGGTTGAAACCAAAAATCTCAAATTTGGACTCCAGACCAAAGGACACATTTCCACCGGTCTAATGTTCATTGCTCATGTTTATTGGCCCAAGCAAGTCTCTTCTTATTATTGGTGTCCTTTAGCAGTTGTTTCTTTGCAGCAATTTGACCATGAAGGCCTGATTCACACAGTCTCCTCTGAACAGTTGATGTTGAGATGTGTCTGTTACTTGAACTCTGTGAAGCATTTATGTGGGCTGCAATTTCTGAGGCTGGTAACTCTAATGATCTTATCCTCTGCAGCAGAGGTAACTCTGGGTCTTCCATTCTTGTGGCAGTCCTCATGAGAGCCAGTTTCATCATAGCGCTTGGTGGATTTTGAAGAAACGTTCAAAGTCGAAATATTCTGTATTGACTGACCTTCATGTCTTAAAGTAATGATGGACTGTCATTTCTCTTTGCTTATTTGAGCTGTTCTTGACATAATATGGACTTGGTCTTTTACCAAATAGGGCTATCTTCTGTATACCCCCCCCCCCCCCCCCCTACCTTGTCACAACACAACTGATTGGCTCAAACGCATTAAGAAGGAAAGAAATTCCACAAATTAACTTAACACCTGTTAATTGAAATGCATTCCAGGTGACTACCTCATGAAGCTGGTTGAGAGAATGCCAAGAGTGTGCAAAGCTATCATCAAGGCAAAGGGTGGCTATTTGAAGAATCTCAAATATAAAATATATTTTGATTTGTTTAACACTCTTTTGGTTACTGCATGATTCCATATGTGTTATTTCATAGTTTTGATGTCTTCACTATTATTCTACAATGTAGAAAATAGTAAAAATAAAGAAAAACCCTTGAATGAGTAGGTGTGTCCAAACTTTTGACTGGTACTGTATATACAGTACCTTTGGAAAGTATTCAGACCCCTTGACTTTTTCCACATTTTGTTACGTTACAGCCTTATTCTAAAATGGATTCAATAGTTTTTCCCCCTCATTAATCTACACACAATACCCCATAATAACAAAGCAAAAACAGGTTTTTAGAAATCTTTGCACATTTATTAAAAAAAGAAACGGAAACATTAAATGTACATAAGTATTCAGACCCTTTACTCAGTACTTTGTTGAAGCACCTTTGGCAGCGATTACAGCCTCGAGTCTTCTTGGGTATGACTCTGCAAGCTTGGCACACCTGTATTTGGGGAGTTTCTCCCATTCTTCTCTGCAGATCCTCTCAAGCTCTGTCAGGTTGGATGGGGAGCATTGCTGCACAGCTATTTTCAGGTCTCTCCAGAGATGTTTGATCGGGTTCAAGTCCAGGCTCTGGCTGGGCCACTCAAGGACATTCAGAGACTTGTCCCTAAGCCACTCCTGCGTTGTCTTGGCTGTGTGCTTAGGGTCGTTGTCCTGTCGGAAGGTATACGTTCGCCACGGTCTGAGGTCCTGAGCGCTCTCCAGCAGGTTTTCATCAAGGGTCTCTCTGTACTTTGCTCCGTTCATCTTTTCCTCAATCCTGACTAGTCTCCCAGTCCCTGCCGCTGAAAAACATCCCCACAGCATGATGCTGCCACCACCATGCTTCACAGTAGGGATGGTACCAGGTTTCCTCCAGACGTGACGCTTGGCATTCACGCCAAAGATTTCAATCTTGGTTTCATCAGACCACATAATCTTGTTTCTCATTGTCTGAGAGACTTTAAGTGCCTTTTGACAAACTTCAAGCGGGCTGTCATGTGTCTTTTACTGAGGAATGGCTTCCGTCTGGCCACCCTACCATAAATGCCTGATTGGTGGAGTGCTGCAGAGATGGCTGTCCTTCTGGAAGGTTCTCCAATCTCCACAGAGGAACTCTGGAACTCTGTCAGAGTGACCATCGGGTTCTTGGTCACCTCCCTGACCAAGGCCCTTCAGCCCCGATTGCTCAGTTTGGCCAGGCGGCCAGCTCTAGGAAGAGTCTTGGTGGTTCCAAACATCTTCCATTTAAGAATAATGGGGGCCACTGTGTTCTTGGGGATCTTCAATGTTGCAGAATTTTTTTGGTGCCCTTCCCCAGATCTGTGCCTCGACACAATCCAATGTCTTGAGCTCTTCGGACAATTCCATCGACCTCATGTCTTGGTTTTTGCTCTGACATACACTGTCAACCGTGAGACCTAATATAGACAGGTGTGTGCCTTTCCAAATCATGTCCAATCAATTGAATTTACCACAGGTGGACTCGAATCAAGTTGTAGAAACATCTCAAGGATGATTCATGGAAACAGGATGCTCAATTTCGAGTCTCATAGCAAAAGGTCTGAATACTGATGTAAATAAGGTATTTTTTATATATTTTTTAAAATATAAAAACATGTTTTCATTTTGTCATTATAGGGTATTGTGTGTAGATTGATGAGGAAAAAAAAGAATTTAATCCATTTTAGAATAAGGCTGTAACGTAACAAAATTATTCACACCCCTTGACCTTTTCCACATTTTGTTGTTACAGCCTGAATTTAAAATGGCTTGAATTTAGTTTTTTGTCACTGGCCTTTTTTTTGTCATTTTTACAAATTAATATAAAATGAAAAGCTGAAGTGTCTTGAGTCAATATGTATTCAACCCCTTTGTTATGGCAAACCTAAATAAGTTCAGGAGTAAAAATGTGCTTAACAAGTCACATAAGTTAAATGGACTGACCCTGTGTGCAATAATAGTGTTTAACATGATTTTTGAATGACTACCTCATCTCTGTACCCCACACATAGAATTAGCTGTAAGGTTCCTCAATCAAGTAGTGAATTTCAAACACAGATTCAACCACAAAGACCAGGGAGGTTTTCCAATGTTTCGCAAAGAAAGGCACCTATTGGTTGATCGGTAAAAATATAAAAAAGCAGACATAGAATATCCCTTTGAGCATGGTGAAGTTATTAATTTCACTTTGGATGGTGTATCAATACACTCAGTCACTACAAAGACATAGGCATCTTTTTATTTTTATTTTTATAATTATTAACCCATTCCTGTTCGGAGCACAAATATATTATTTTTTTTTACAGCTTTTCTGCTACATATACATTTTACATACACATTTTGCATACACATTTTACATACATGCTACTTTTATATAAAGCAGTCACATAACAATAATACATTACCAAGCATAAACTCTTCAATCCCACCCCTCAGCAACTCTCAGCCCATCCCACCTATCACCATAGACCTTCCTCGTTTGGTTTCCATGTGCCATATATTTTCCAATTGTGCTGTGATGTTTTACATACATTTTCAACCTTTCTAATGGTATAGTGTCCACAGATTGTGAACTTAAGATGAAAACCTTTCCTACGAGTATTATTATATTGTTTATTGACTGACTATGGCTTTCCAAATCGCCCAACACTGCTATTTGTAAGGTTAATTTTAAGTGAATATTGTGATTTTTTAACCATTCCTGAACCTGTGACCAGAAACAAGCTACATAGGGGCAATATCAGAATAAATTATATTGTGATTCTGTCTCTTCACAGCAAAATATACAGAGCTGAGACTGTTGTATGTCCCATATATATAGCATTCTGTTGGTGGCAAGAATTTTGTATAAGAATTTAAATTGAAAAACTCTTAAGTGTTGAATCAAGTGTTCTTTTTTGTACCAGTTCATAAGCCATGTGCCATGCAATCGGTACATTGAAAATCTCAGCTGTCAACATTTTTGTCCTTAAATGAAACTGGTATATTTTTCTATTTATGCCAATTCCTTTCTTTAATATATGGCAGGTAAACAAGTTCCCTACCTCCCTTTTCCACTTTCTTTTAAATTTATGTAATTTAACCTTTATTTAACCAGGTAGGCCAGTTGAGAACAAGTTCTCATTTACAACTGCGACCTGGCCAAGATAAAGCAAAGCAGTGCGATAAAAACAACAACACAGAGTTACATATGGGGTAAAACAAAACATAAAGTCAAAATACAACAGAAAATATATATACAGTGTGTGCAAATGTAGCAAGTTATGGAGGTAAGGCAATAAATAGGCCATAGTGCAAAATAATTACAATTAGTATTAACACTGGAATGATAATGGAGGAGGCAAGAGATGATGTGCAAATAGAGATACTGGGGTGCAAATTAGCAAAATAAACACTTGCCTCCTCCATTTTTGTAGTAATGCTGCAATCAGTTGTTTGTAAGTGTGGATTGAGCAGATTCCCATATATTTTCGATAGCTGCATATGTGACATACCTCCTCTGTTTTTATTCATAATATCATTAATAAATATAATAAACATTTTAAACATTTTTACCATAAATAATGTTTTTTTATTTATCATTATATTTGAGTTTAACCATAACATTTGTTATAATATTTGTTATATCATTTCTGGAGGATAAAACTGAAATTGTAACCAGCTTTGTATGGCTTGTTTAAGAAAGGGCGATACTTTAACAAAATCTCATTTTCAATTAGTCGGAAATGAGAAGTTGTAATCTGTATAAAGGCAAAAAGGCAAGTTTTGAACAACGGATGAGCCTTTCTTAATAACCCATTTTGGGTTTAAGTATAACTTATGTATGAGTGAAGCTTTTAGTGAGAGGTTTAAAGCTTTAATATTTAATCATTTTAGCCCCCAAAACTCATATTAATTACGTAAATAGGCACGTTTAATTTTGTCAGGCTTAGCATTCCAAATAAAACGAAATATTTTTTGTCGTCTGGAGTAGGCAGTGCCATTAGTAAGTAAGTTAACTGTGATAGGACCAAACAGTTAATCAATGTGATTTTTCCATGAATAGACAAATGTTTACCTCTCCATGGTTGCAGAATCTTATCTATTTTTGCAAACTTTCTATTGAAATTGATTGTGGTAAGTTCATTTATATTTTTAAAGATGTGAATAACAAGTATGTCTACCTCACCATCCGCCCATTTTATTGGTAAACTACAAGGTAGTGTAAACACTGTGTCTTTTTAACGATCCAATGCGTAATATGGTACACTTGTCATAATTAGGTTTTAGTCCAGAGAGGCCAGAAAAGTGATCCAGATCTTCAGTGAGACTGTGCAGGGATCCAGATTGAGACTGTGCAGGGATCCAGATTGCGGACTTGAGTCATCGGCATACATTGACACTTTTGTTTTTATTCCCTGGATTTCTAACCCATTGATGTTCTTCTTGGATCTGATTTTAATAGCTAGCATTTCAATGGGCATAACAAATAGATATGGAGACAACAGACAGCCTTGTTTTACTCCTCTTAAAAGCTCAATACTTTCTGAGAAGTAACCATTATTTACTATTTTACATTTGGGGTTGCTGTACATAACTATAACTCATTGTATAAGAGATTCACCGAAATTAAAGTAATCCAGACATTTATATATAAATTCTAGTCGTACTTTATCAAACTCCTTTTCAAAATCTTCTATGAAGACCAGGCCTGGTATCTTTGATGTTTCATAATGTTCAATTGTTTCAAGTAATTGTTGAATATTATCTCTAATATATCGTCCATGTACAAAACCTGTCTGATCAGGATGAACAATATCTGGTTAAACCTTTTTTATTCTATGTGCTATGCATTTCGCCAGGATTTTCGCATCACAACATTGAAGTGTAAGAGGCCTCCAGTTTTTTTAATGGACTATAGGCATCTTACCTAACGCAGTTGCCGGAGAGGAATGAAACCGCTCAGGGATTTCACCATGAGTATAATTGTAGTTACTCCACAATATTAACCTAATTGACAGAGTGAAAAGAAGGAAGCCTGTAAAAAATATTCCAAAACATGCATCTTGTTTGCAACAAGGCACTAAAGTAATACTTTAGTGTCCTGAATACAAAGTGTTATGTTTGGGGCAAATCCAATACAACACATTACTGAGTACCACTCTCCATATTTTCAAGCATAGTGGTGACTGCATCATGTTATGGGGGTTGAATACTTATCTAATCAAGGTAATGTATATTAGTGTTTTATTTTTCATAGATTCTTTACAAATGTTATAATTTTTCTTTCACTTTGACATTACACCGTATTTTGTGTAGATCGTTGACACATTTTTATCCCACTTTGTAACACAACAAAATGTGGAAAAAGTGAAGGGGTGTGAATACTTTGTTTTTTTAAACGGTTATGAAGGTTATTTTATTTTCATGACTGTCTTCATTCATAATCGTCAGTTACACGATTATACGGTAATTGTGCCAGCCCTAGTGTGTGTGTGTGTGTGTATGTATGTGTGTGTGTGTGCAAACGACTCCATGTCTGTGAATTTAACAGCATTTATTAACATCATCCATCTATTTACAGAATCTTAAGAAGTGCCAGATGTTTCAGTGCACAGAGCAGAACTGTTACAAGACTTGGATAACCAAAGATCCAATGCCTTGTCCCCTCAACCAGCCCTACTGTGAGGTAGGCTTAATAGTGCACCCCCACTCTACCCTATTCATCATTCTATACCCATACTAGACAAACTAGACAGGCTTCATTGAACTGTAAATGCTGTAGGCGACAAATGTACACTTTAAGTATTTGATAACGAAAGAAGGAAAATACATTTGGCCACGACAAGAATGATTATCTGTTATCATCTCAATAACATCACTCAGACAAGAGATAATTTCCTTTCGCCAATCTCGTACATCCTTAAACTCATCAAACTCCATCCATTCCCAATCCACGTTTCTCTTTTCAGCTGAAAAAGAAGACAGATGGTTCAATAACAATGTGGATTGGAGGCTGCAATGCCAACTGCACAAGAAACACCTGGTGTACGACCACAGCAGAAACATGCCACCAAGAGTGCTGCAACACCTCCATAACCTCCTGCCTCAAGCTGGATGGTACTCTGAACGTTCCTTCTTCTGCCACTAGAGGTCCTCACTTCCCTTTAGCATTGGTCACTGCTGCTCTGCTGGCTTGTCTGCTCAGCATTGGTTCTCTGGTTTAAACAAATACCTTGACTTGTCCATTGCAAAAATGGTTTAAAACGTTTCCCGTTGTGTGACCTAATGAACACAACCCTGATGTGTCGACCCACTGAGCCATTGCTTGAATATTAAACAGCGGTAGTAGTTAGCACAGCAAAACCTGGTTTCCATTCCACATGAATACTATACTGGTTGTAGGTCTAGCCTACTCAGTTTTTGTTTGTTTGTTTGTTTGTGTATGAGATGTATTGAGATACTGTATATGTGCTTTTGAGAGATTTAGGTTGAGATTTATGTAAGATGAAGTTTACAATTATGACATTTTCATAAATGTCCAATTTTTTTAGGCACACTGTTATTTTCTTTCGCCAGTGGTTTGCATGATGACTTGTATGGTTTCTTTGATTTTGCACTTGCAAAGACCTAGCTTGGTCTCAGATCTGGTTGTGCTCTTGCTAACTCAATTGCTCATTGACAAACCAAACATGCCTAGGACAAGGAGTTGGCATGATAGCACAAACAGACTGACACTCAGGCTAAATACTTTCTCCAATACAAAAGCAAACACCTGTTCTTTACAGATATTGCATAATAACTCAGTTATTACCTAGTCCTAGCTAGCATATTGTGAAGGAAAGCTTGACGATTTATGCACTTATTTTAAAAAACATATCTACTGGGCTATAGAAGGTGTAAGTCATACCTGTGAATGTAGTCATAATAATAATAATATGCCATTTAGCAGACGCTTTTATCCAAAGTGACTTACAGTCATGTGTGCATACATTTTTACATATGGGTGGTCCCGGGGATCGAAACCACTACCCTGGCGTTACAAGCGCCGTGCTCTACCAGCTGAGCTACAGAGGACCACACACTGTCATACACTGTACAACTGTAATGTGTATTTTACTCCTTTTATTATTAAGCTGTATTCTTATTTATAATTCACCATCATAACAATGTGGAAATTGATTTATATGGGTTATAAAACTGTCAAAGTGTATATTTTTGCAGTAGTTTCATGGAAAGTTGACATACAACACCTGATATGTCATATCTAATATTTGGAGAAAAGTTACTCAAATAAATGTGTCATGTTGGATACTTTATACATTGTGTATATTGTACAAACTGTAACAACTGCTTTTAAAGTCATATAAATATAAATTCAATAAATGTTTGACCAAAACAAAATATCAATATTTTCTTTGAAATTGTCTGCAAAGCTCCCCTGTTATGAGATTGATGTAACTGTATTTGAATCAACTTGACTTATATACCCAATACTGCATCAAAAGAAACACCACTGATTATCTTGTAGACTTGCTCTTATTTAGTAATTGTACCTTATAACGTATTGGCCATTCAGAATTCATACATAGATTCAAAGTTCTGATTAAAACATTTAAATTATGACAAAACATTCTTATGGATTCCGTGCTTCTATGCACCATGCATTAGAATTGGATTACCATGGAGATGGCTGTTAAAACCACATAAAAATTATCACATTTTTGTAGCTGTGGCTAAAACCATAGATATAGAACACTATTGGTATATTGTCTATGGCTAAAGCAATATTGTTGAAATATCATTACAATTGTAAAGGTTGCATCATCTTACCAGCATCAATGATGTCATGATGATAGCAATGATGTCATAATCAAACATTATCACCAAAAGACACAATTTAACACAATGAATTCAGAACAGACATCTTGTTCATACAGTGCAGATGTGTGACTATGGATGCAACTATGAATGCAAATGATCACCCATCCTTTTCAACACCAGGCTTGGGTCCCAATAGGACCCCTGGAGATCTTGTGAAGTTCATAGATTACTCCATTCCCACCAACTCTGGTGTTCATGAGGATGACAATGATGTGATCCATTCAACCAACTTTGTGAACCACTTCTTAGGTAAGAGCTAAGAAAAATCTAAAAAACAAATCTAAATAACTCTACCATAGATAGAGATCTTTGCTAATCTTTGAATATTGGTAAATTATTTTTTCTGGTAGGTTACTCCATTTTATTTTGATTTATAACATTGTGTTTGTTTATAGAATGACATTTTACAGGTCAATCATCCTTTTAATTTTCAGGCTCAAGTAATCAGAGTACCCCTGAAGATTTGGTTCAGTTTGTTGCATAATCAATTGTTGATGAGGATGACAATTATGTAGTCATCTGATTGGGAGAGTTATGGGCCAACCTCCTTCCTGTCTCAGTAGAGACCAGTCCTCTCAGTCAGAAGACCTTGACTACCTATCAGGTATGAGTTCCATCTCTGTCTAGTGTGGTACTGTAGTTGATCTAATTTGCTTAATTTGGTATTGGATTAGTTTGTTTGAGTGTGTTGTTCCACTCTCCTTAACATCTGACACTTTGTCCCTGTTGATCCACAGACCCACCATGTTTCGGGAGACCCAGCGAGTCTCCTGACCAGAGGGCTTTGACTCCCCAGGAACGTCCTCACCGCTCTGGGTTGACCCAGTCCTGTTGGTCTGAGACCACTGATGCCTACTCCCCTAGTAGAACGAAGAGCTCCGTAGTATCTCAAACCACCTCTCGGATAAGATCTTACTCTACCATGCTGCTTAGTCTGCTAAACTTTGATTATTGGTCAATTAATTTTTCTGGTAAGTTGCTCAATCCACTCTCTTTACGAGCAAAAAATGTTCCCTCTTGATCTATAGATTGGGGCTTGCCTCATTTGAATGCCTGGAACCAATCGTTCCAGTCTGGCTATGATCACTATGACAACCCTGGCTACCTGTCAGTTATGAGTTCTTCCTCTGTCTCGTGTGGTAGTTTGTCTAATTTGTCTAATTTGCTTGATTTTGCATTGGATTGGTTTGTTTGAGTGTTGTTTCAACCTCTTTACCATCTGTCACGTTGTCCCTGTTGATCCACAGAGCCACCCTGTGTCTGGACTCCTGACTCCAGCGGAGCAGGGAGCCCTGAGCAGCCCAACAGCCCCTGGGAGTCTCTTAACCAGAGGGCTTGGACTCCCTAGGACAGTCCCCGTTGCTTTTTAGCTCCTGCAGATGATGTGGTGTACATGGGAACAACCACCAGGTCCTTCCTGGAGTCCCAGGATATTCCCCGCCGCTCTGTGACTCATGATGAAGATGAAGAGGTTATGTACATTAGAACAACCACCATATCCGTCCTAGACTCCCAGGATATTTCCCGATGCTCTGGCTCCACCCACAGCAAGCACTCTGAGACACCCACCTCAAATGTATGCTTTACTATTACTAAGGAGGAACTATGGAATATGTGGATCTCAGATACATGTAAGGGCTCTTAGGGTGTAGTATAGTATGATTTCATGTATTATTATAGTGTCTTGCATTTTCAGGATGCTCAGCCCACATGTGCTTATAAGACTCTGCAGTAGTAAAATAAAATCATACATTCATACAATAGGCTACGTACTGTACATTAACATATAGTACTTTGTTTACAGATCCTTACATTTGTATACTGGTTTCTTCATTTTCATCATCTAACACTTTGTCCCTCTTGATCTTCAGCCCAGGACTTCAGACGGGCTCTCCAGTTGAGATCTCTGCATTCCTACAAGAGGACTGAGGATTGAGTCTCAGTCTAACAATAGGAAGAGGTGCCACTGCCTGGGGTGGGACGCAGAGGACTGCCCTGCCAGCAAGAGAGCCTGGAATTAATATCTCCAATTGGCTCTCAGGCCTCATAGATGGATAGAATTGAGCATGCTCTTCTTCACACTCTTAGTTTTAAAACAAAGACAATTAATATATTTGAAGTGCTTTGTTTTTTGCCATTAAAAGCAGGCTTTAAAAACACATTACTGACTTTGCCCATCTGAAGCTCCCAAGTGGTGCAGTAGTCTAAGGCACTGCATCTCAGTGCTAGAGGCGTCACTACAGACCCTGGTTTGATTCCAGGCTGTATTACAATCCGGCCGTGATTGGGAGTCCCGGGGCGGCACACAATTGGCCCAGCGTCGTCTGGGTTTGGCCGGAGTAAGCCATCATTGTAAATAAGAATTTGTTCTTAACTAACTTGCCTAGTTAAATAAAAATTGTTGTTTCTTTCCTATTCTGGCTAATGCTTTTCTCTGTTGAGGAAGTTGCCACATTTTCACTTTATCTCTTGCTCTGGCAGCTCAATAGTTTAGATATTTCCCATTTGGAATACTTTTTATATGTTAATACAGTATTTATTTTTTAAAAAATGTAAATGTAAAATAATAGCATTATTAACACCATATTTAATTACAATTCTCATAAGCACTTACTTCCTGGGTAGGCAAGGCATGGGGCCATGAGGCACATTAATAGAACAGAAAATTGGTACCAGAATAGAGCTGGGCCACAGTACAACAAGACATTCATAATAAAATATTGTGACATTTTGTTCCTCAGATTTCTTCCTGAGAAATGCCATCCAATACAATAACTACAACACTTCAATCCAATGCAGGATTAGCCTAATAAAAAGGCCCAGGGCCTATGCTTTTTCCATTTAGGCTACACATACAATTGAAGTCGGAAGTCTACATACACTTAGGTTGGAGTCATTAAAACTCGTTTTTCAACCACTCCACAAATGTCTTGTTAACAAACTATAGTTTTGGCAAGTCAGTTAGGACATCTACTTTGTGCATGACACAAGTAATTTTTCCAACAATTGTTTACAGACAAATTATTTAACTTATAATTCACTGTATCACAATTCCAGTGGGTCAGAAGTTTACATACACTAAGTTGACTGTGCCTTTAAACAGCTTGGAAAATTCATGGCTTTAGAAGCTTCTGATAGGCTAATTGACATCATTTGAGTCAATTGGAGGTGTACCTGTGGATGTATTTCAAGGCCTACCTTCAAACTCAGTGCCTGTTTGCTTGACATCATGGGAAAATCTAAAGAAATCAGCCAAGACCTCAGAAAAAAAATGGCAGACCTCCACAAGTCTGGTTCATCCTTGGGAGCAATTTCCAAATGCCTGAAGGTACCACGTTCATCTGTACAAACAATAGTACGCAAGTATAAACATCATGGGACCACGCAGCCGTCATACCGCTCAGGAAGGAGACGCGTTCTGTCTCCTAGAGATTAACATACTGTGGTGCGAAAAGTGCAAATCAATCCCAGAACAACAGCAAAGGACCCTGTGAAGATGCTGGAGGAAACAGGTACAAAAGTATGTATATCCACAGTAAAACGAGTCCTATATCGACATAACCTGAAAGGCCGCT